GCTCCTCTATTATATATATATATATATATATATATATATATATATATATAGTTAAGTTAGTGTCTGAGTCTGGAGTACGGTAGAATGCGTTTGCCGTATGCATTCCATACTACTCGTCTTCGACTCGAATGTTCATTGAAATTTCGGGTCTGACTCTAAAAAGTCATGTCCCGGATACTTAACACCATGTCTTGCACTGAATAATTTATGAAATTAGTCGCTTGATTTTCCACTGGAGTTCGTATACCAGAGACCTCATAGAGGATGCTGGTGGACCCACCAAGGAGCGGAACCCCTCACAGCTGTGTCACGCAGCGGCCGAATATCGGCAAAACACGTGTCTGGGCTCATAGTTAGTACCTATGTCGGGAGTACGGTATAATACGTTTGATATACATATCTATATATATTCAGTCAGGAATGGGCGCGCACCAATCTGTTGGCTCCACCAAACAAACAAGCTCCATATGGGTGACAAAATTCACAAACAGGCAACCAATTACCAGGCCGAAGTCGGCCAAGTCATAATAGCAGCGAGGAGGGACGACAGAGAATGCGGGTAAATTGATACAGTACTGTTTCTGGCTTGCTTGGCTTCGCTCAGCCAATCATGACCCTGACCACCGGCTCGAACAGGGAACACAAACATGCGCAAATACATAGAAGTAGAAACAGAAGTAGATCAGGAGACTGGGATGGCCATGGCCACGGTGTATATAAAATGTCGCAATAGCAATGCCGGGGTAGACTTCTTAATTTAAAGTGTAAAGAAGCAAGTCGTAGCCCAAGCGGCTGAATGGTTATTTAACTATTTGAAAATGCTCGAACTCTGACTAACTGGGACCCTATATGTCAGAGTGCATTATCGTGGTTCCCAGTACACGACTGACACTGTCCCAAAACACAGTGCAATTATTCTTTTGCGTACACATGTGTGGGTTCTGGTCAACTATCCCATACTGGTGGAACCAATTACGTTTGCGTAGGCTGAGATAACAGCTACTGCCAAAAGCACTGTTTCTTATCAAAATATCTTTTTGATGAAACTACTGCTTGGATATGCACTTGCACGCAAAAAGTAGATGGACTCGTGAGCATTTATGCCTTCGAGCTCAGAAGGACTTCTGCCGCACCAACAATAGTGATCCTACATATAAACATCGTGGACGGCGAGGGAGAACGTCTAATAGGGCGACTTGCCGCAGGTTCCAACTACACAACTACGATCCTAGCTTTACGTTTGGGGGCTGTTCATAATCTGCTGATTCAAGGCAACATGATATGCTGACTGTAGGGTGAATAAGTGATGCGAATATTCAACTCACCCCGGGGAAACGGAAACCGTCGGCAATTTCACAGATGAAAAATTGGTTTAGTGGGTTGAAGGAGAGAGACTCAGTGACCAAAATGCGAAGCGGCTCCTTGATATAATCAAGCAAGCAGTGTCTTGAGGGTACATTAGGGGACGGCGGGTTCAGCGTTGATGTTCTTCGGTCAATGCAGAGAACCTTGTATTTAGCAGGCAGTGTGAAGTCAATAGGAGTCAGGTGAGTTAACAATCTAGCACCCAGAAGCGAAACAATATGCCAAACGTTCTCAGCAGCCCTTCGGCCCACTTTAGCAGAGAACAAACAACGAAGTCCAGAAAAATTGATTATCAACGGTTTCTGTTGGCATAGGCTGCAGAAATTCCAGGTGCAAAGTACTATGTAAAAACAGACGATATATGCTGATAAAATTATTCACATTGGCTGGCAGTGAGATTTGCTGTGTATAATTTAATTAACATAAGTCTCGAAGGACCACGAAAATAAAAGGAAGGAAGCTTGAATGCCATTACTGGCATAGTTACAGCCATCAGCCAATCACACATCGGCTGAAAAGACCCTAGACTCCAATCGGCGTTATTGCGCTTTTTGGTCCTAAACGGCTGGCTCATACCCTACTAAATACAATCGGAAACATTTAGCTTTCCGTTGAGAGACGTTAATCAGTTTTACGCCCAAACAGCGTACTAATTATTTGACTTTCAGCGACATCTTCAGTGGGTCCTAGACCGACCACATTTCAACATTCAGTCCGTATGGACCGGTCGACACCGCAAGCAGACGAATTTAAAAGAACGAACTTTTCCCAACTCAGATAGAAATAATACACACTCTATACCCGGCAATCCACGCGTGCACGAAAAGAAGTTAAAGCTGAACAAAGTTTCCTGAAGCCTGTTACCTGGTAGTTCTTTTACTGAGGAAGTCAGTAAGTTAACAATCCCCTAAAATGTGCCGAAGGAGGATAGTTATACCAATTAAACAAAAAAAGCAAGCAGTGCTTTTAATAGACGATAATACGTTTCCTGTACACACTGTAGAACAGTAGTACGCACGATAAAGCAGACTGAACCATTTTGAACGAGAACTTTTCAAACAAAGAAATCAAAGCTAACTGCTGTATTGAGAAGTCGTAGATTTAGCACCGAAGCGCATTCCTTCATCAGCCAACGAAGACAGGCTTGATAGAAAGAACTTATTCTCGGTTTTTAATAGGCTTATTTGTGATATGATACAAATAGCGGTTCTAGCTGTAAACAACAGTTCTGCCACTTAATTGCTTTGCGTAACATGTACACAGAACGTGCACCTTCTAGATGATACTTTAACTGCTGACGTCTGCTAACTTCCTCTTGTCTATCAAGGTGCATGCGCATTTTCCGGTGAAAGTCTAAGGAGTCACAGGCTCGTTCAACTAAGAAGAAATTACTACTAAAAATTACAAAACTACAACACAGTTATAGAAAAACTGAATAAGCAATTGCGAGATGCCAACAAAGTCTTTTTTGAATGGCAGCAGATGAGCGTTACTCAAAAAGAGAGCAAAAGTAACATACTATTTGTTCTAACGGGTAGCCACGGAAAGTCTCCTGCGTAAAATCTGAAGAATTAAACAACTGTATGGGACTGCTGAAAAATAACATACCTGGTTTCTTTTGACATCTCTGAATATATGGATTTTTCGCCATTTCAACTGGAAGTCTTTTCTAGACGTCTAATTTCTTTTATCAAGCCGCACTTCCCGCATCACCATGCCCTGAAGAAATATTACGGTATTAAGTACTGCGGCGCGTTATTTGCAGCAAATATAAGATAAAAGTGCGGACCATATGAACAAAATGTGCCACATTATTTCGTTTTTCTAGCAAAAGGCGGTTTGTTTGATGTCACAGTTAATTTATCTTATCGCAACTGACAAGACTGCGGATCTGTCACTCAGTGGTTAGAGTATTGGATTCCTTACCAAAAAAGCGCGGATTCGAGCCCCAGGGTTTGCAAAAATCTACACCCCACGCGTTAGTTGCTCATGCGTTTTTATTGATCACACGGGCAGATAATCTGCGAATCGCATTAACGAGCATAAGCATAAATGCGTCCGCGCTAAGTCTAAATACTGTATTGGTCGATCAAGGATGCTTTTATGTAAACCAAGTAAGTTTTTTTAAGGAGCTCTTAATTAACCTAAAATATCATAAGGAAATAGGAACAGAGGGAGTGGCGTACGTTGCATGACCGTGAAAGTAAACGTTTTGTATCGTCTTCATTTCATTGTTTATTATGGGGTCAATAATGCCAAAACCGGTTGGAACTGTAAATGTCCACGTATGGGGACAGCCTACGTATATTATGCATACTGTGTGGTATCCTAGACACTTTTACAATTTCCGTGGTGTTTGCAGAGGCCGGAAAAATGGGACATGTTTTCACAATAAAATTTCGTAACGAAAAATAAAGGAAAATTTGAAAAGTTTGTCTGTTCTGTGCAAAGTGAGTCCCACATTCTCATTAAAGACCGACTGTGTGCACTCATTCATAAGTTACAAAATGTCTGCTGCAGAACACAACTACACCCATGTTTTCGCCGTGGAAGATAGCAAAAACAATTTGAAGAACAGCCCTCACTGCTGCCAGCCACATCGAAAGCTCTTCTAGCTGAGTCTTTAGAAAATCTAGCGTGCCTGGATATGTGTGAGTTACTGATTAAGGATATTTAAATGCAGTATCTATAGTTTTATTAACAGATACTATACATTTGGCATGTCCAAAGGGTCGTCAGAAACACGGTGTAAATATTCATGTCTATGGAGTTAGAGAAACAATCTAACTTTGGAATACAATTGAAAAAAAATCCCCACGAGACATAAAAATGCAGAGTAGCCGGTATCTTGAAAGCGTTGTATGCAAACAAGGATAGTTCCTACTGTTAGTCTGTAGCTGGTTTTGCTATTGGTTATCTTTTTTTCAACAGAGCCTGCATGCACCATCCCCCAGCAGTCAGGTCGTGCGAATTACCTCAGAGCGCAAACCACTACGAAATTGACAAAGCTTTTCGAGTCTATTCAAGTTACTTTCGACGAGGATCCGGGATGGGTTCAGACCGATCCTACGTGGGATCATGTGCGTCTAACCGCGTGCCAACGAAGACAATCCGTTCCACAAAAATGCCCTGCTAGAACCAGCCCCGTCTAGCCCCCGGGGCTTAGCATATCTATAACTTAGACAAAGTCCACGCTCAGACGCCATACTTGACGCACCTTCTCCACAGCAAGCCATCATCGTCTCAACAAATTTATTTATTATTCTGGCAGCATATGAAATTTTCCTTTGATAATATTATCCAGGGGGATTCCCTTTCCCTATTTATTTTAAAATACATATGCTAAAATGGGCCGCATATGGATGAGTTTTCTCCCACTGTTGGGTCCTCTGGCTACCATGCGTATGTTCGCAAAACGCTATTATTATGAAAGTTTACAGCATACGACTAGGATACAACGGTATATCGTGTTCTCTTTGGCATGTTTTTTATCGCTGGTATTAATATAGTAGCCAAACGTAAAGTAACTGCAGTCCTTTGCGTAGGATCATGAGTCAAATGCAAATGATCTTAAACAAGCGACTGTTTCAAGGGATAAATAGCGGTGAACAAATGCCCCAGGTCTGCGTACCGATTTACCAAAAATTACGTATACGGCGCCTAAATTTGGAGCTCAACTCTAGGTCAGTATTCCACAGTCAACTTAAACATGTTCAAGGCTCTCAAATATGAAGTGACGTACATAAAATTTCATAAATCCACCTAACGGGACGCTGTGTCACGATCAGTTGGGCCACTCTCCGCTACAGAACACGCATTTTCTGGAGGACACAGATGAGATCAAATTTCTGGAAGGCGTTACAACTCGTCTCGTACGACACAGCATAATGCGTGCCAAGTTAACTAAAGTGAAGAAGATAGGTACAGGCACTAAATTGTTGACATGTATTTTGTAAAGATTACAAGATCTATTACACGCCAATGAGGCTTTAAAGTGCGCGTTATTGCTTACGGAATATGCAACGAAATCTTTTAAGGAAGTGAGGGAAAATATTGCCGTCAGTTTTTCAGCACACTAAGGCGAACAACTCAATATGGAGGGTCGATATCGTGTCACAAACCTAGAAGTAATATAAACAGCAGTTCTTTATATTTTCCGGACTGAAATCTAAATAATGCCAATCCCGAATGTCTACCGATTGTCACGTCAGTGCACGGGTTGATTACAATCTGCCATCAGGGTTTAGGCATGCGAAAGCAAATGTATCTCCCTTTCAAAATGTCCTGGAATAACTCCCTGACTCATCGATAAAACCGAGATTCGCTTATGCCTTATAATATTTGCTGATGTGCTTTGTAAATGGCACTATCGCACCGTTTATTTAGAACTGTGTCTTTAGTAGACTTTAGGATTTTGTAGACCTCAACGTTGGTCTAAACAGACTTATATATACGGTAGACACATTCGCCATACTAAGTGTTATGTGCTAAAAGGCTCATTAGACCTAGACTTTAATCAAAATAGGAGGTTTAACTGTTTGGCAATGTTAATTTAACAGAACCAAAAGACTGAGAGATAATATTTGCCGAGTGAGACAATTTATTCAAAGCATCCGTTCAAAGCATCTGGTACAAGTACCAAGTTAATGGGCAGCACTGAAGTGACGGATGGACAAGCAGTATATAAAGGAAGAGAAATGTTGTCTTGAGATACACGAATTCGCTGAGTAATGACAAAGTCATATCTGTCTTTCAAAATTATTTCAAATAACCTTCTTATGGGTCCATTTACGTGGATGTGATCAACAGTTGTTTGACGACAGATCGGTCCAATTGCAAAACCTTTCGCTGAGCTGTTGACAGCGCCCAACCGCGAAGATGCAGTTGGGTAAACTAACGATAAAGTCACACAATGTACAGTACGTTATGTCATACAGCAAGTTATAGATCTCATAGATTAAGTTTTCAGATCAGCTAGAGCAGTTTGTCAAAAAATAAGCTAATGTAAATTGTGTTGTCCAGATCACTGAGGTTGCCCTATAATCAGGGGCACTTATCTAACCAATACTCCCATGAAAACCAACGGTTTTGGTTGGTTGGCAGATGCAACATCAAATCATATAAATTGATGTTGCATCTTCCGGAACATATGCGTCATGACCTTCAATGGACCGGTCTCAGCCTCACTTTATTTGGTAAGGATGATAGGCAAGGCCTTTGATAACCCTATGGAGTACATGCCAAGGCGTTGGACAGTCATACATGAACAATGGAAACTGTCGCTGTCAATACCAAATTTGCACGAATTAAGCAGCATTGTTTTTAAAGACAAACTTTCTGCGGTTCACGGGATACTCCACTCAGGTTCGGACAGCCAAAGGAAAAACAGGGGACAAGTAATTATCTAACCGCTTCTTAAAGAGCTGGGGCGTGCCCGTCCCCACGACTGATTTAGAGGATCCTTCCATCCATCCACTACCCTCTGAGTAAAAAATGCAGAGCGAATGATTAGCCTGGACATTTTTGTGCAAAGCTTCACAGAATGTCCTCTAAGATTAGCAAGAAGTGTTACTTTAACATATCCTCAAAGTTTAGTCCATGCTCAAGGCCAGGCATGAACTTGTAAACTAGGAGTAGATCACCTCTTTGGTGCATGTAATACAGAAGGAAAGGATTAAGGCTGTCCAATCTTCCTATGTAAGATTGTTTCTTGAATCCTTTACCAGTTTTGTTGCACGACGTTGCACCTTCCCAAGGCAAGTTTAATCTTTCACTAGCCGTGGCCACCTCGCCTGTGTGCCATATTCTAGATAAGATCAGACAAAGGAACGTAAACTCTCCCAAAAGGCTCTTACGAAGGGTCACAAACGCCCTTTTGATCACATGGAGTACTCTATTGGCGTTTTTTAGCCTTGGTGCACTGTGGTGCTGGTTTCATGTTAATCTGTATCCAAAAATCTAGATCGTTCTGCGAAGAATATGCGAAAAGAGTAATATATTAAGATGATATGCCCTCGTGCTGTTATTTGAATGGCAGTTGGCTGAACGCTGCTGAAGGACGGCACACTTCTGCACACCTCTCAGACCACGTTTGCAGTCGGTGCAGATTATTTTGAAGGGCTTTCTAGTCATACGGACTCTTAATGACTTGCCAGAGCCTAACGCCGTCCGCAAACATTATTTTGTCGCAGTCGAGTTTTTGAAGACTGTCATTATCATAAAAGATTAACAGTAAGGGTCCGAGAACTGAGCCTTGGGGCGCAGTACTAATTACGGTCACGCAATCTGACATATCATTTCCGATACAGACACGCCGTTTTCAACCAATCGGAAACGACCTTATCTGGTCCATTAGATCTCTCCGACTGCCGAGGACGTTCCATTTAGGAATAAGGCGTTGGTACGAGACCGTGCCGAATGTTTTGTGGAAATCTATATACACGACACCGACCTCAAAGCCCTCTTTTAAAGCCCACGTCCAGTCATTCAGAAAGTTAGCAGATTTGAAAAGCAGAAACGCCCTTTTAGAAGCCATGCTGGAAATCCTATAAGATTATCTTTTCTTCACAAACTTACTGTATGACATTCTTTGCTAGAACTTCCATTGCTTTACATGAGAGGCGAGCTAAGCTAATGGGTCTGAAGAGGCTT